AATCTGGAGGACAACTACCTCCAACTGACTGGAAGAGATCTATCTTTATTCTCTTCCCAAAAAAAGGTGATCTGACAGACTGTGACAATCATCAAACAATATTATTATTAGTAAAACACGAAAACAACATACTGTTGAAGATTATCCAAAAACAACTGGAAAAATACATCAGTAGAGAACTGTAAGATGTGAAAGCTGGGTTTACAAGAGGCTGTGATACTAGGGGTATTATAGCTAGTGTTAGATGGATCTTAGCTGAAAGCAGGGTGTCACAGGAATATCTGTGTTTCATTAACTAAATAAAGACATTTGACTGTGTGGATCGCAATAAACTGTGACTAAGCTGGAGAAGAATGGTAATACAAGAATATTTGATTATGCTCCTGCAAAACCTATACTTGGACCAATTAGCAGTCATCAGAACAGAGCAAGGAAACATAGCATAGTTCAAATCATGAAAGGTGTATATCAGGGATGCATCTATCTCCCTATATTTTCAACCTATAAATGGGTGGATCAGATCACTTGGGAGTCTGGACTTTGTGAGGAGGAATATGGCATCAGGATTGGAGGAAGACTCATCAACAAACTACGTTATGCTGATGAAACAACCTTGCATGCTGAAACTGAGGGAGACCTGAGGTGTTTGCTGCCGAAGGTCAAGGACTTTAGTCTTCAATATGGATTGAAGCTCACCATCAAAAAAACAAAAGATTCTCATCACTAGGGCAACTGGCAGCATCATGATAGACAAGGAGCTTATTGAGATTGTTGAGAATTTTATCTTGTTTTAGTTTCACAATCAACACTCTTGGTACAAGCAGCCAGGAAATCAAAAGATAATATGCATTGGGAAAATCTGCTGTCACGGACCTCTCTAGAGTATTGAAGAGCCATAATGTCAGTCTAGAGACTAAGGTGCATTAGATCCAAAACATAGTCTTCACAATTATTCTCTATGCATCAGAGAGCTGGACAATGGCTAAGGCTGACAGAAGAAATGATGCTTTTGGGTTGTGGTGCTGGAGATGAACAAACAGGTCTGTCTTGGAGATGATGAAACCAAGTGGATCCTTGTGGGCAAGGATTTTGAAGCTCTGTTTCACATATTTTGGGCATGTATCCAGTAGGGACCGGTTCCTGGAGAAGGACATCATACATGGAAGGGTGGAGGGACAGAATGAGAGAGGAAGACCCTGGATGAGATGGATTGACACAGTAACAGAGATAATTGGAGGCAGGTATGTCAGAGACAGTGATACTGGCTCAGGATATTGCAGGGTTTAGAGCTATTGTAATAGGGTCACTATGAGTTGTAGGAGACTTGACAGCACATAACAATAAAAACAAAGATATCATCACTCTATTAAAAAAAATCTCTGTTACTAAATTATTCTAATTTTAATTTAAATTGTTCTAAACTATGCTTTTCTTTTGAAAAATCCTTGTCTGAATTTTCTTTTTAATACTCTTTTCTAAATCCATCTATGAAATGTGAATACATAATACAGTCAAAAACAGCACAGATTTTTCCCTGGAGAAATTTATCTATGACCTTGTGATCCAAAATATTTGATAGCATGATATATTCACAGAGATTAAAGTTTAGAAATGCTAAACACTATATTTATAATTGTTATAGTGAAGTGGCCTGTTGAAGGAGATTCAAAGGAACCCTTTTATTTACCTTCCAAGGCTGTAATAACACAGAATCTTATACATCTTCTAAAGAAATAAAAAAGCAAGCCTTAAAATTACTAAGTGTATGGAAACAATTGTATGTTAAAATATATGACAGAGACAGAGTAGACATTATATGTCAAGTCATTCTTCATTCTAATAAATTAAAGCTGTTCTCATACATTTGATTAGAATTCAATATATTTTCATAGTACAGGGGAGAACTTCCCTCTGTAGTTTCTAAGACTGGTGGCCTAAGTGGGTAAGGCGTGAGATAAGAAGTGTGAATCCCTCTGAGACAAGCAGTTTGAATCCACCAATTGCTGTGTAGAAGAAAGATGGTCATTCTCCTCCCTTGTGATTTACGACCTTTGAACACGCAGTGAAGGGTCAGTGATGACTAGGTTCAGACTTAGACTACAATGAATCGATTAAAGGCAGACTGCCGCCTCTTTCTTTTGCAGAGTAGTTGGTGGGTTCTTACTGTTGACCTTCTAGTTAGTTAGTTGACTGCTTAACTACATAACCACCAACTCTTCTTCCTCCTCTGTTGTTGTTGAGCACTGTTGAGTCAACCCATCGCTGACCCTCCAGTAGGTTTTCAGAGGCAGTTAAACACATAGAAGGAGACTGTCATCTTTCTTCCACTAGTAAACCATAAAAATGATAGAGCATTACTTGAGCTCTGGTGACATAGTAAGAAGGTGTGTTGCAATACCAAAAATTTTTAAGACTCAATAACTAGGAAATGTGTAGTCACATTAATGCAAATCATTTGGATTAGATACATTTGAGATATTTAGAAAAACTAAGAAGACTTAAGGGGATGAGAGGAGTTTGTGTAATTTTACCTATATAAAATGACTACTAAAACACTACTTGAACCCACTAGATGCACTGCAAGATCAAAATAGGCAATCTCATTTGGAATTTACTTCCTCTGAAAACCTGCTCAAGGGTCAGCTTTGGGTTAGTTTAGATTCAACAGCACATGACAACAACTGGTGGCACCGTGGGTAATCAACTACACTACTAACCCAATGGTAGGCAGTTCAAATCTTGGGAGAAGATGGACAATCTTCTCGAGTTCAATTTACAGCCACTGGGGGAAAAAAATCACTAGAGGGTCAGCTACGAATTGTTCTGACTAGATAGCACATGAAACAATTAAAATTTAAAAGTACTTTTAATATTTTGTTATTATAATTATGTTAACTACAAGAGGAATGTCTTTCTGTGTTTCATTAATTATGCAAAGGCATTTGACTGTGTGGATCATAACAAACTGTGGATAACTCTGAGAAGAATGGGAATCCCAGAACACTTGATCGTGCTAATGTGAAACCTATACTTGGACCAAGAGGCAGTCGTCAGAACAGAGCAAGGAAACACTGCATGGTTCAAAATTGGGAAGGGCATACGCCAGGGATGTGTCCTGTCTCCATATCTTTTCAACCTGTATGCAGAACAGACTATCCAGGAGGCTGGGCTCTATGAGGAGAAATGTGGGGTCAAGATTGGTGGAAGATCTATCAATCTGCGTTATGCACATGACACAACCCTGCTTGCTGAAACTGAGGAAGACCTAAAGCACTTGTTGCTGAGGGTAAAGGCCTGCAGCCTCCAATATGGATTGAGGCTCAATGTCAAGAAGACAAAGATTCTCACCACTGGGCCATCTGGCAGCATCAGGACAGATGGTGAAGAGATTGAGATTATTCACAGCTTTAGTTTGCTTGGCTCCACAGTCAACACTCTTGGTACCAGTAGCCAGGAAATTAAAAGATGTATTGCCATGGGAAAGTCTGCTGATAGGGACCTCTCCAAAGTGCTGAAGAGCAATGGTATCTCTCTGGAGATTAAGGTGCGTCTGATACAGGCCATAGTCTTTGCTATCACTTGTTATATGTCAGAGAGGTGGATAATGACCATGGAGGATAGAAGGAGAACTGATGCCTTTGAGCTGTGGTGCTGGAGAAGAATATTGAGGGTACCATGGACTGCTTGGAAAACAAACAGATTCATCCTCGAAATTAGTTAAACCGGGTGGCTCCTTGGGGGCAAGGATTCTGAGGCTCCCTCTTACATATGTTGTAAGGAGGGACCTGTCCTTGGAGAGGAACATCATGTTTGGGAGGGTGGAGGGACAGCTCAGGAAGGGAAGACCCTCTATGAGGTGGATTGATTCAGTGACTGGGGTAATCGGGATGGGAGTGTCAGAGACAGTGCAATTGGCACAGGATAGAGCAGGGTTTAAGGCTGTTGTACATAGGGTCACTATGAGTCACAAATGACTTGACAACACATAACAAAACAACAACAATTACATTTAAGTAATAAAACTTATGATGCAAATACATTTTTTTATCCAAGAAGGCTGTTAGAAAAACTGTTTTAAAAATATTCAAACAGGAACAAGATCTTTTCAAAGATCCAAATTACCATGTCATTTATAAAACATTAGACATACAAAATGTGGTTATTTCTGTTACAAAGATAACTTTTTTAAAAACTCAATTTATATACTGCCCAGCTCCTTATGCTCTCAACTGCAAAGTGATCATGGATGACATGTTCACACACATGTATGCACGCACACGCGTGTGCACACACACACACATACCCCCTCTCTGTACACACACCAAATTTCTTTTTATAAAGATAAAGGATTTGGGGTGGCTGATTTCAGCCATTTTTTCATGTAAAACATTTGATACTTGAAAGAAGAGCATAGACTACCTAATAGAGCATCAGAATGCTGACTAATGTCTCAAATTGAAATATTTAGGATTCAGCAGTTCAAACTTCAAGTCCTTGTAAAACATAATACATAGGCTATTGATCAGGATTAGGTTTAAATAATGTATTTACTGATATTATAAACAAAGTAATAAATTATACATCTATTAATCATTCTTGGTAATGGAAATGAGTGGACAGTTTTTAACAGATGTATTGATATTAAAAATTTATTTTTTATTAGTAAATATTATTGTAATTTAATTTTTTCCTCTTTTTATGATTATAATTATTAATTTCAATGAACATTTACAGAGATTGTGGATTTCCATTCATTCATTGTTGCACTTTTCTCCCCGCCCACCCCCCCCCCCCCCCCAGTTCGCTCTTCTTTAAAAGGAAAAGAAAAACTCCTTCATTGGTATACAATGCCCTCGCACTCTCCCACCCTCACCCCGAGTATACTCCACTCTGCAACCCTCATTCCAAACTCTTATGATAATTATAATGTCCTAAAATATATTACTTTTAAACAGTTCTCTCCGAAAGAGCAAGTGGAAATGTAGGAAGTGTGGAGTTACCTGTTCAGGCTTGGCAGACGCATTCATCACGGTGTTTTCAGGGACATTGTCCTGAGACTGCTGCTTACACAGACCTTTTGTTGCATCTTTGAACATAATGTCTTTTTCCAGCAAACTGTCTTGCTTGGCAATCGGTAACACCAGGGGGCTGCTAAAGGAAATAATCAATACGATAATTAGTCCTCTTTTGCTGCTACTCTATCAATAAAAAAATTATCAGTAGGTGATAGCTAAGCTATAAGCGGTTATCTTACTCATATTTCCCCCCAATTAACAGTAGGGGGAAATCAGTTAAAATATGTAAGTTTTCCCATTAACTCCAAATGTCATTCAATTTTACGTCAAAAAATTTATTTCAACTGTAAAAGAAAATGTTTGTGAATAGGTAGACAAATCAATAAGCAATTTAAAAGATAAGTTTGAACTGGATGAATGAACTAAGAGATTTCTTTTAAAACATGGAAACTGACCACAAACAAATGATAAAATGTATAAGTAAACCACGAAAATATTATTCTTTTAAGATGTTAATCTTATGAAATTGTACACAAGGTTTTTAATTAACAATATGGGAACTAGAGAAGATAAGCAATATAAAGGACTTCAATGGATAACAGCATTACATACAGAATAAATTTCACTGTTTATATGAGCACACACACAGGCCTATAGACAATAAAATGTGTCAAAACATTATTTTTAATGCAGATAAAAAGCAAGCACAATATAATCGTTGGACTTGCCATGGAATATTTAATTTCATATGGTTTAAAAATCTGTTTCGCTAAATGTCATTATAAAAATATTAGCAAAAAATTAGTACAAACATTTCAATTAAGGACAATAAATAATAATTTCATATAATTTGCAATAGTTGTAATGGCAATTAAAGTCCAAAGTGCTTGTCTGATTCTTTATAAAACTCATAATTATTGAAGTATAATTTATATAGAATTCATCCTTCACATCTGAGTGTAGAATTCTGTTTTAACAAATATTTACATTTGGATAATCAACAAAAACCCTATGCACAACAGAACACAAGCAGACTAACAGAAAGGGCAACCTAGGTAGAACTATCAAGTATGGAAATACAAAGGAGGATGAACAGTTGTAAGCAGACCCTAGTGATTGGAACATGCAATGTGAGAGCCATGAATGAAGGAAAATTAGAAATTGTTCAGAAAGAAATGGAACGCATAAATATTGACATATTAGGTATT